CTGCACTCAACATTTTTAGAGCTAGAAGGCTGATTTTTCGTATAGCTGCTCGGCTATCCTTTCTTGATGTCTACTGAAAATTTCAAGTTTCTGTGATTTTTGGTTTCGGAGATATGACCTTGTTTTTCAGGTCATGTCATGACCCAAATGGCCAATTCTCAACATCTTGCGTTTGCCATGGGCCTTGTGAGCTTTTGACACCCTGATTTCGGCCTTTTTTGCCAGTCTTACCTCCCACCTATCATGGAACATGCTGTTCGACGATGTACAGGGGTCAAGGTCAGGGTCAAGGTCAACCTAGGTCATCTAAGATAATTGCGTTTTAGGCAAGCTGAATTTACTTTTTGTGAAGTTTTTTGACTGCATTTTTGGTAAAAGCTTCTCAGATCATGATTTCATGTGATATGGACCCAAAAACAATCGGTGCACACATCAGTATACACACAGACACACACAGACATACGAACACATATAATTGACCTTGACCTAACTTGACCTGAAATGACCTCAGCAGCAAAATTCTGGTCGGATAGTGTGACAAAGAGGTTCTAGCTGGCTTGGCACCAGAAAACAGCATCGTCATCGGTATTTGATAAGCAGCGCACTTGATATCCAACGGTGACCCAAAACAGCAACATTTTTTAGTTTGACCTGACCTGGAAGGTCAATGACTGACCTGAGAAGGTAAAACTGGGTATCATTGGATTCGTCTCTTCCCAAAGAATCTTTTTGGTCTTTACTGCTAAGCTCTATCTCCAACAGGAACGAAATGGCGCGGGGGGGGGGGTGGCAATCACCCCCCCCCCATGTGCGTTCTAGGATGGGAAAATGGCATGTGCGGGCGAGGGTTAAGTCTTTAATTTAGTGGTCGCCGCTTACTAATCATGCGGCATACACGCCGCACATAACCGCCAATGCCGCAACACAGCTTAGATTTCGAAGTAAGCATTTAGTTTCACCCTTTAAAGGGACCCTCCCACCTTAAAAAAAGTTAATGAATTGGCATAAAGGTGATGTCGCTCGGTTCAGAAAGAGCAAAAACGAAATCTACCAAATTTCACCGAAAAATACCCGCCGGTTTCAAGATACACTTTAACTTTTTTTAAACTTCATACTTTAACTTTTGTTTACTTTTTGAGACCTGCACTGTTCCTGTGACGTCATTTGGAAGCAATGATTTGGCATACTTAAAGTGCGGCAGATGTCGCGCGCAAAGCAGCGCATTTTTTTTACCAAAGGACTTAGTATACGATTTAAAAATCGTTTGACTTGCGCCGACGTCACAGATTCAGAGGGGGCATTCAAATGCATGTTAGCCCCTTAGAATCCGAAAACAGCAGGCTTTGAAATTAAATAACTCGGAATTAAAGATTTATCGATGTTGTGAGTGCCCAAACCGCTAATTGCAGGCCAGGGACCCCAATTTGGCTATCTCAACTCAAAACTAATGTTAAGGTGGGATGGTGACTTTAAAAGTGCAACCAGCGTTGATGTACGTGACCTTACACCTATTGCCTCAAATATATCCGGTAATATTTCTTTAACGGCAAATTTTTACATAAATTTTCTCCGAAGCATGCATATCCATTGATCAAAACTCGTACAAAGTGATTCCGACGTTTTAACTCCGCTATTTCTTAGGTTTCTCAGACTATGTCAGCCACATAAAATCGGGATATCGATACCAAAACCAAATACCAACGAAAACCATAAGAAAATACCGAAACCGAACCAGCTTGGGAAGATGACAAAAACGCCAACTTTTTACTAAATTTACAGCGTTTTTTACATTGGTGCGGACTGCGGATTCATAATACCACAGATGCCAAAAAAGTAGGGTTGAAATACCAAATGCCAAGTTGGTATAGGTTTGGTATCGGAAAGTTGGCATCCGATTGAAATCTCTGTTTGGGACCATGGGACCGGTCAGGGACCATGGGACCACTCAGGGATCAGGGGACCGGTCAGGGACCAGATGGCCAGTAAGGCCGACAGAGGCACATTCCGGAACGGTGACCGGCTAGTAGCTGAGCCATGCCCTTTAACCCTCGCCGGCCGAGGGGGGGGGGGGGCGGGTGCCGCCCCCCCCCATAGGGTTTTTTTCGCGATAGCTCCGAACACGCTGGCGATAGAGAGCTGAAACTGGGCATACCTGACCTTTGATTCAAGCCGGATCTTCTGACATCAACCACATTTTTGGGTCAGGTCAGGTCACTGACCTATGACGTCATAAGTTAACCTCTGCACGGTCTTCAGATGTCGCAACTTCGCAACGCCCTCACTGCCAGAGGAGATGTCACAGGGAAATGAAACTTGCAGGATCTAGTATCCATTATGAGTCTCACAACTTGTATATCTCGGATTTTTCCTAAAGGTCATATGAGGTCAGGTCATTTTCGTGACCTCACCATTATAAGTCAATGGAGAAAAATGAAAACTGCTATTCTGGCGCCGGGAACGATCTCCAACTATCTCAAGCACACAGAATCGTGATTTGATGCACTCCTTGCAAGGTTAGATGCGTCACTTTTGCAATGTTGACCTTGTGTGACGTCATTTATAACGTCATCAAGGTCATATTAGTTTTTCGTCAATAACTCTTTATCAAATTGAGCTTTTTTTTATATATTTTTGGTGCCCGACCTGGGCTTTTTGTCGTTAGTAGCACACATTCATACTGGGTTAGTACACTATACACACGGCAGTGATACGAATCGTTTTCGGCACCCGCTACGCGGGACAGCCTTGACCGCACGCTTCCTGTCACGTGCCCCAGGTGGCACCGCACTGGTGCGCACGCTGGGGCTATCCCGATTTCTCGGGCCCGGCAGGTCAGAGGGCTGCTCCGGGACATGAGGCGAGGCCGTGCCCTCGGGACATGTCACCGGACCGAAGGATCTGTTTAAAGGCGGATCAGGCCCGTGTACCTGCGGCCGGGGGCGCTGGCTGGCACAGCGGTAATCCCCACGACCGAGCGAACACTCCCCAGCTACTGCCATCTCCTGGGTAGGAGCCGGCCGAGGAAAACGCTGCCAGAGGTCAGCTTTGATCCAAGGGCCTCCCACACCAAACGTGAACGCATTATCAAAGTGAGCTAGCGAGTCGGGAAAGCCAACAATGGACTCAGGAAGACCTGCCGAATCGAATGATATGCGACATGACCCCTTTCGACCAACTTCGTGACCTTAGGGTGCTGACCTGACCTTGACCTCAGGTCAACACCCCAAGTTGACCTGACTCGAACAAAAAGTATATCATTCGACGCGCCTGAGCGAGGCGAACAGGATGCTGCCAAAATCGCGGCTCTGCGGCCGTTTTTTTGCGAAGTTATTCACCAAAAACTGAACCGTATTTTGGGGCACTTGACCTGACCTCAGAGGTCACCGGTTGACCTAGGACCTTAAAATCGGGTACCAATCTCTGCATCTCGTAACGGCGCACACGCTCGTTTTTTCCGCGACGCGCTAGCTCTACCAGGGGCGAAACGGCGAGGGGGGGTCGTACCCGCCCCCCCCCCCCTCGGCCGGCGCGTATGTAGAAAACCAATAGGTCCGGCGAGGGTTAAGGTCCCACCCTTAACCGTCACTTTCTGATCAACTTCTGCTTATTCAGCTTCGCCAACATTAACCCTCGCGGGCCCGGGGGGGGCGTTTTTCGCCTCCCCCCCCCCCTGGCGAATATTTGCGATAGCTCTCGAACGCTTAGGGATAGGAAAGCGAAACTTTCAGTACCTTTTCTCCCATCAATTTAACATCTTCTGAAGTAAAAAATTTGGACCTAGCCCCCTTGATGACGTCACAAGGTCCATTTTTTTTGGACCCCTACACTGCAAACTTTGGCGTCACAGACTCAAACTTCAAATAACTGCTAAAAATAGAGTTTTAGAGATGAAGACAAATTACGAGCACGGTTGTGTAGCGTTTGACCTAGAGAAAAATAGAAAAATAGTTTTGGTGACCTGAGGTCAGAGGTCAGGTCAACGACCCCGAAATGTGGTTTTAGTTTTTCGCAAATAACTTCGACAAAAATGGCCCTAGAGCTACGGCAGTGGTACCATCGCATTCGCCTTGTCAAGCCGCGTCGAATGGTATATATTTTGTTCGGAAAAGGTCAAATTTTATGTTGACCTCATGTGACCTCGAATGACCTCTGGTTTACCTTGACACATGTAAGGTCGTTTATGATGGATTTGTACCCGCTGATCACGAATCTGGCATCTATTTTCCTCTAAGCCTTCATTTAGAGCTTCCGGATGGCAAAATTGTCATATTTATTATTACTAACTTGAATCAGTGAAATAGCCTCTAGCAGGGATACTCTTCTGTGACCTTGACCTTTGAGCAGCCTTGTATCGTAAGATGAACCACAAATAGGAAACTGATGAGCCTCAAAACATTTCAAAACATCTTGGAAGCTAGCACGCAAGATGTGCGAAAATGGGCCAAGTTTGAGGTCAATTTTGAGCGTTATCTTGACCTTGACCTTTAATTTTGAGCACATTTTCGGAATCCTCAGATTCTCTTCTTTCGTTTGACACCTAATTTTGCCGGTTTGATGCAGCCTGCCGTCCTCTAGAAGGCTTACTTTGAGATCACTACACATGTGCCGGTTTTTGCCTTTGACCTTGACCTCTGACCTTGAAAATTGACCTGAGGTCAAAAATTTTAGGTGCCTTAGAATCTTCTCGTAAGGACCTTTCGTTTGGTATCGCTTTTGTTTCCGTAGCTCCCTTATTTACAGAGTTAGACGGGGGGGGGGGCGAAAAACGCCCCCCCCGGGCTGCGGTGGTTGGGATTACCCCCCGGGCCCGGCCGGGTTAACCTATGGTAACTTCCGTGACCTTTTGATAAAGTCAGGCGCTCCTACATACACTAATCGTGACAATAATGTCATACCTATTAGCGATTCAAGTCAACATTTTGCACACTCAACAAGACGGAATGTCATGGGCTGAGTGCTCTATTGTACTCGTACTTCGTAGTTAAGCACTAAACAGTCTATTAAATGTTGGCATCATCTGTATTACGATCGCCTGGTAGCGTCATACACAAATACAAAATACATTTCAAGGGGGTGGACAATGATCATTGCCCATCCCTCCACGGCCCAGTTCCCAAGTCACTCCAACACTAAGGTAGACGAGATTCGTTTTGTTCTCCGGTGTGTGTCCGTCACTGTCCGGGAGGCTCGGTGTCGTGGAGCGGGCTCGGCGGCCGGCGGCCGGCCGCCGCTCCGGCGCCCAGCGGTCTCAGGCCCAGCAGGTCCGTATGCTGCAGCACGGCGACCCCCGGCTCCGGCCGGCCGGGCCGAGCTCCGTGCACCGCGTACACGAGCAGCCCTGCCGAGCCGACAGCAGCGGTCAGAGGACCCGAGGCCGCCGTCAGAGGACCCAGCCACCACCCCACCACCCTCTCCCGGGGGCCGGTCAGAGGACCCAGCCACCACCCCACCACCCCCTCCCGGGGGCCGCCGTCAGAGGACCCAGCCACCACCCCACCACCCCCTCCCGGGGGCCGCCGTCAGAGGACCCAGCCACCACCCCACCACCCCCTCCCGGGGCCGCCGTCAGAGGACCCGGGGCCGCCGTCAGAGGACCCAGCCACCACTCCCTCCCGGGGGCCGCCGTCAGAGGACCCGGGACCGCCGTCAGAGGACCCGGGGCCGCCGTCAGAGGACCCGGGGCCGCCGTCAGCGGACCCAGCCACCACCCCACCACCCCCTCCCGGGGGCCGCCGTCAGAGGACCCGGGGCCGCCGTCAGAGGACCCAGCCACCACTCCCTCCCGGGGGCCGCCGTCAGAGGACCCGGGACCGCCGTCAGAGGACCCGGGGCCGCCGTCAGAGGACCCAGCCACCACCCCACCACCCCCTCCCGGGGGCCGCCGTCAGAGGACCCAGCCACCACCCCACCACCCCCTCCCGGGGCCGCCGTCAGAGGACCCGGGGCCGCCGTCAGAGGACCCAGCCACCACTCCCTCCCGGGGGCCGCCGTCAGAGGACCCGGGACCGCCGTCAGAGGACCCGGGGCCGCCGTCAGAGGACCCGGGGCCGCCGTCAGCGGACCCAGCCACCACCCCACCACCCCCTCCCGGGTATCTCAGTAGACGGACATAAATATTCGAACCGCCATGACCTCCAGCAATAGCGTTTCCTAGTCTCCCAGCTTACATAACTCGCGCCCACTAAAAGGAATTGGGAAGGAACACTGATTCCAACAGCCTACTGTAGCAGTTTGTATCCGCTCCAGGAAAAGACTGGTCGCTCTATAGCGCTTTGCTGTCGAAACACGTTAACATCAAATGAAAATAATGTACCATGCAGCCTTCACGTCATACCCAATCTGACACAAAAGACACACGAGTGGAGTGCTGGTACCATAATGTAACAGAACACAGCACGAGCTGGCGGCGGTGGCTGCAGCGCCCGGCTGGGCGGCGCCGGCGCCTCCTACCTGCGGCCAGGCAGGCTGCCAGCGGCGCCCACACGTGCTGCAGCAGGGTGACGAGGCCGATCAGGATGAGCAGCAGCGCGGCGCAGGGCAGCCACGGACAGCCGGGAGCCTGCAGCTCAGCGTGGCAGGAGCCGCACCACGGCTGCCTGGGGACGAGGGACACACATCAGTCGGACACAGGAGCCGCACCACGGCTGTCTGGGGACGCGGGACACGGGACACACGTCAGTCGGACACGGGACACACATCAGTCGGACACAGGAGCCGCACCACGGCTGTCTGGGGACGCCGTACACGGGACACACACCAGTCGGCACAGCACACACCCACCAGTCGGCGCTCGCAGTATGCACACCCGGTTGGCTGGCAAAGTACATACACGATATTAGTATTGATGTCTGCCTGCGGGAAAGCCGACGGGTAAACATTATATCCACAAACATGGAAGCATCTGTCTGTACTCGGTAGGTGACGCTGGTGCCGGGCAGAATATGTAGGTATGTAAGTACCTACCTACTGAACATAAGCGTAACTTTATATCTCTTTGTGGGTGCTCAAGCACCCCCAATCCTGAGCTCGGCACCCCCTGCCTTCTTAAAGCACCCCCAGCCTCCTCAAAACATTCCCAGCTGACTCAAGGCCCTCAATAATCAGAATGTCCATCTCCTAGTACTGTAATGAGCCCAGTGAATCATGCAAATACTATGCTTACTCAATTCAGTGACTAAGAGAATATACATTGAATAAATCACCACAAATTAAGATGCATGACATTTGTGTTAACATTACATCTGATATTATCAGGGGCCCGGGAACCATTTTCAAGTTGGGGGGGGGGGGGGCGAGCCTAAAATACCTGACATGATGCATATGAAACAGTGGCATAGCTAGGGGTCTAAGGGGACACGTAGTACGTACCCCCTACGGCCTACCCCCCATCGAGTTCAAAGGGACCCTCGGGTCCGAGAGGCCCTGCGGCGCCATTTGACCGCTGAGGGTTAACGATGCCCATATTTCTACTCAGAAGGGCCCCGTGGGGCTCGTTAGAGCACCTCATGGGCCCTAAATAGCCACACTAACGTCTCCATAAGGGCCCCACGCCGACTTCTGAGGGCCTCTTGCGGCTTTTAAGGACACCTCGGTGGTCTTCAAAGGCCTGTTAAGCCTGAAACAGACTCTTTCCGCAGTCAGGAAATCGCATGCGAGAGCCTATTCAAATACATGGAAGCACGCTCGCATCAATCGCACGCACCTCCCGCGAGCGATTGATGCGAGAGGAATTACAATGTATTTGAATAGGCTCTCGCATGCGATTTCCTGAACGCGGAAAGAGTCTACTTCAGCCTTTACTGGCCTCTGAGAGGTCTTACCGGCCTTTGAGGGGACAGTTCTAGGGGCATTTCCTACCTGTGATGGTCCCACACTTATTTTTCTAAGGGCCCCATAACGGCAACTATGGGGCCCTCGTCGGTGCCTATGAGGGCCCACACCGGTGTCTCTGAGCGTTTCACACCCCCAACTGAGTGTCTACACCAGTGCCTATTAAAGCCCTATATATCGGCGGCTCTGAGGACCCAACAGTCAACACCTGTGCATCTAAAGGCCACCCACTGATGACTTGAGGGCCCCACAACGGTGACCCTGAGGGCCCCACCGGCGTCTGACAGTACCATGCCGGTCTCTTAGGACCCCGTGCAGGACTTCTTCTGCCGGCCTAAGCCCTAAGGACCCCTTGCCGGTCACTGAGACCCCCTGCCGGCTTGTAGAGAGTTCGCGTCAGCAGCTCTAAAGGCCCCACACCCGTCTGTAACGGCTGTACACCAGCGTCTATGAGGGCCCGGAGCAACGCCTGTAAGGACCCTCATCGGCGCCTCTGAGAGAATCACACTAGCACCTCTGATCGTCCACACCGGCACCTGCATGGCGGCCCCACACCGGTGCCTCCCTTACCGGCGGCTCTGAGGGCCTTACGCCGGTGATTCTGAGGGTGCCACCGATAACTCGACACCTTTTTTTAAACCCCACATTTGTTATCCGGTGAATTTCAGACAAGTTGGTTAGAGACCTTCAAAAAAGGTACAATCACTCGATTTTTCTCAAGTTTGTCTGTCTTGGCAGATAAAGCAATACCAGAACAGGCCTACGAACACACATATTTGATCAGGATCGGACGATTGGACACTTTTAAAAGGAGATCTTTCGTGCCTCCCGGAAATTCACGGGAGAGCAGATGTGGGGTTTAAAAAAGGTGTCGAACTGAAGGCACCACACAAGCCCTTAGCGTAGCTGAGCTTTAATCCCATACCGGCCCTCCGAGGGCGCCACGTCAGTGCACTCATTGCCCCACATCCCTCCCTCACACCCGGAGCGGGTAAACTGTGTTATACCTATAGCAACGATTTTACCACCGTTGTACGTTATGTATTTCTCAAAGTTGACTCAAAATGGTCCAGTACAAAATCTGGCCTGCCAAACTTATGGCCAAGGTCAGGCCCAAACACGTTTTGGGCTATCAGTCTCAGTCCATGACTCCATTCTTCGGCAACTATACGGTGCAAGGCCGATACTGTAGAAACTTGCAATTTGTACCCTTGACCTGACCTTGACATTGACCTCAAACTTTAAATTAAGTACATGTTTTTAGTTATTCGTGATGAGATCTTTCGATTGGCGTTTGAATTTTCCAAATCGGACCATTAGTTCGGGAGATAACAGGGGGGTAAAATTTATCCCCCCAGCCTCGCGCGTTCGGCTGGAGATCCCAGCCCCGCGCGGGTCAATGCATTGGGTGAGCCAAAATTGTTTTACAGTGGCGCTATTAAAACAAGCTCTCGAACCGATTAAACATCATTTCTTGCATGATGCCTGATGGCTACAGTAAAAAAGAACAGCTAAAAAAACTACAAAAACTATGGCATGCCTTTCTGAAAGCTATTGAGCACCCCCAATAATTTTTGGAAAACTACACCCATGCTACTGAATGCAGAATACCGAGCAGACAATGTGCTTTTATTTACGTTCCTTACTGACAAATCACAAGTCTTAAAAAAGCGAACGCATTTCCGTACCATTTCACATAATTTATATCACACATTTACAGCATAGGCGGCGGAACGGGGAGGGCACCGGGGCACCGTGCCCCCCTTTGATTTTGGCATTTTAACATTAGCCCTATGGGCGTTGCATGGAAAGAATGGGACCAAAAGTCGGCAGTGCCCCCCTTAATTGAGGGTGTTCCGCCGCTACTGATTTACAGAAGCAATATCATTCGCTCCTAGTGATGTGAATGACAGATAATAAACCCGCGCCCTGGTGGGTACGAGGGGAGCATTTTTTGCCCCCTCCCGAGACCCGACTTTTCCATATATTTCCAAAACCACTGCAACCGATTTTCACCAAACTTTCAGTACCCTCCCGACACCAATTTTACACATTGTGACCAAAACTTTCAAAGGCTATGATAGGTTGGCCGCAAATGACGTCAGAGTGGTGACGTCATGCTCTGCCATTTTTGACCCAAAGAAGGCTTCGCGGGAAGAACTGTCAGGCCTATAGCTTTGAAGATACAGATAAATGTTTCCAAATAAAAGATGTATAAGTACCAGGGCTGTCTTGAAATTTTAAATTTTTGGATTTAAATATTATTTTTGGGATATGATTGTTAAAAATTAAAAAATATAGTTTCGAAAAACCGGAATATTTGTGATATTCCCTACAGACTTTTACTCACATACCAAATTTGAGATCGATACCTCTTTGTTTTTGGCTAATTTACTCGTATAGCGAAAAACTGTTCAACATTGATGACGTCAAACTTTGATACTCATTTCTTTAGCAACTCTAGACCACGTATTGCAAAACAAAGGCCACCATTAGACTCCCCGTGACGAGCTGCATCGAATAGAGATACCCATTTTATGCAAAAATATCAGCTTTGAATTTTGACCTTTTTGACTTGACCTTGCCCTGACCTCCACCGGCGCGGGTTAAGAAAACGGTACCAAACCAAATACCAACCATATCATAGGAAAATGCAAAAAGAACCAACTCGGGAACTTGAATGAATTACAGCTTTTATCAAATTCAGAATATCTAATACCTAACTAGTGTGGATACATAATACTGATGATAAAGCAATACATAAGGACTGAAGCATCAACTGGTATTTACATCAAAAAGTTGGTATCGCGATTGACATCTGTAGATTGTCGATTGAGATCCGAGTCTCATTTTTTGCTTGAGATCCAGTGAGATCATAGATCCTCACTTATTTTTCGACAGCACAGAAATCCCCCAAAAACTCTTGTTGCAACTCACAAACGCTCTGTTTTAGTAATTGTATGTGATTGCACGTCATAATCCATAGTTTTGTGGGACTTATTGATAAAGAAACCCTTTAGAACATGGTTTCAAATGCTGTGTATGGTGGGATCCACTCAGATAATAGATCCATGTCCTTGATTTATCGTCAGATCGTATGAGATCATAGATCCACGAAAATTTTTCACGCCGGATCCGATGGAATCATAGGTCCTAACCTGCAGGTTGCTTCGAGATCCACTGAGATCATAGATCCATCACTCGGATCCATGCACATGTCTGCCTGGAGATAACGGTCCTCACCAGGTGATGACGTAACTGCAGGGAGGACGGAGCCAATGGTATATAGCCTACCTGGAGATAACGACCGTTACCTAGAGATGGCCTACCTGGCGATGACGGCGCCGAAGGCGGCTGCTGAGACGAGCAGAAGCGCCGTGACGAGTGACGTCAGTGGGTGGGCAGTGTGCGGCGCGGCGGTGCGCGCCACTAACGCCGCGCCCAGGCCGGCGCCGCAGACGACCAGCGCGGCCACGGCGATCGCCACGCGCCGCGCAGAGGCCGGCGTGGCCTCCTGGCGCAGCAGCAGGCGCGGCAGCGCGCTGGGTCGGAACTGGCGGCACACAGCACACGCCACACACAGTCGGCCGGCGCGCACTGACACAGCGTGCCTCACCGCCGGATAGCTGGCCACAGTGCCGCTACAACAGTATAGTGTGTTTAACAACATTTTAAGTCATAAGTACGGTTTAATTATCAGTTCCCAGTGAGACCAAAACCCGTCCACCTGGACCGAGTGCTGCCGGAGGTCACCCGCCTGCACCGAGTACTGCCGGAGGTCACCCACCTGCACCGAGTGCTGCCGGAGGTCACCCGCCTGCACCGAGTGCTGCCGGAGGTCACCCGCCTGCACCGAGTACTGCCGGAGGTCACCCACCTGCACCGAGTGCTGCCGGAGGTCACCCACCTGCACCGAGTGCTGCCGGAGGTCACCCACCTGCACCGAGTGCTGCCGGAACTCGGCCACCACGGCGTCGATGTCGGTGTCGTCGCTCTCCGGCTCGGACAGGTCCGTTTCGTCGTCGTCGTCGTCGTCGTCGTCTGCGGCGTCGTGGCTGAGCAGCAGCCGGCGGCCGGGCGGCGGTCCGCAGCTGCAGGCCGGGTGCGCGCCGCCGCGCTCGGCCGCCAGCAGCGGAGTCCGGTCGGCGGCCGGCGCCGGCGCCGCCGTCTCGATCACGGCCACCTCGTGGCCGGCCTGTGCCAGCCGCTGGGGCAGCAGGCCCAGGCCCGCCTTCAGACGGCACAGCGGCGCCGTGCCGCGCTGCCGTCCGCCGGACCGGCGCGCAGCCGCCGCCGCCGGACTCACCAGGTCAGCGGTGCCTGCTGAGGCCGCGTAGCGCTCCAAGAGGGCGCGGCAGAGCAGCGCAGCTGCCAGCAGCAGCTGACAGCTGGCCGCCAGCCGCAGCAGCTGCAGGGTGCTCAGCAGGCCGGCGGCGGCCGCGCTGACCAGCGCTGTCAGCGCGCCGCCGGCGGCGGGAGCGGCCAGCGCGGCCGGCGCCAGGCCGTCGGCGGCCAGCGCCGCCAGCAGGACGCCCTGCGGCGCGGCCAGCTCCACCAGCAGCAGCGAGAGCGCCACGAGCGCGCAGCAGCCGACGGCCAGCTCGGCGCCGCGCAGCCCCCGCGCGCCCAGCCCCGGCAGCGCCCACAGCGGCCGCTCGGCGCCGCTGTCGGAGCGCGTGTACCGTCAGTGGTCCGCTACACACACCCACAGCGACACTGAGCGCCGGACCGGCGCGGCACGGCGGCAACCAGGACCAGACCATAGCGCACAAGGGCCAGTCCCTACAGCTTACAAAACACCCAGTGGAAAGCGCACCAACAAACGGCAAATAGCGTATATTGACCGAGCTGCTAAAAGCTAAGGATAGGGGAGAGTGGTGCAGGAGGCCCCCCCTTAAGCTCAGTTACTATTTTTAGACAACTGATAATATTTAAGCGCTAACGTGTGCATGCGCTGTGAGCATGCATCATTTTCCCATACATATTTGCATTCAAAATGAATCCAGGGGGTACACAAACCGTAAACTTTAACATTTTGGAAAAAGTTGCAAAAGGGCCTCTTACACTATGGGTATGGTAAGACGCCCCCCCCCTCGGGCGTTTTAAAAGTCAAGTCGACTTGTAAAAGACGCTTTGCGAACACAGCTGCAAGGCCTTTTATTTCGAAAAGCTAAGCAAATACGGTGTTATCGAAACCAATAACACTTCCAAAGCGCTCGAACAATGCGAAAACTAGCACAACCAAACGCTGATGACCAACGAAAATTGTACCTATAACCTCTAAGAAAAGAAACAGAAAAAAGAAACAAAAACAAACTCCTTGAAAAAAGAATGCCACGCCTGCCGCAGGTGCAGGCGTTTTAGCATCGGGGGCGTTTTTTATCGGGGGGCGTTTTATCATCCTCGAAGGGAGGGCCTCTTAAAAAAATACAGTGTTTTAACGTCCACAATATTTATGGTTTATGAGACATTTGCAGCGCACCAGAACATGGTCTATTCTGAAGCTAACATGTGACAATTTCGATGAGAAAAGATTGCATTTGATAGCCATTGTTTTTTTCAGATATATAAGGGTGATAAAGATGCATATATCTAGCAAGTAAAGGGGCAAAAACAGAAACAGGCTTACCAAAAGTCGCTGCGACGCACCTGATACCTCAGGTTTCGTGAGTTGTTGTTTCAAGAGGGCTTCTGCTTTACAAGAACATTAAAAAATAAATAACATTATTGGTTTGGTAAAAAAAGCGATGGGGCCTCTTACCGACCCTGGGCGTCTTACACGGATCTCCCCTACTTGAAGGCCAAAATAAAGGAATTCGGTTGAAATGTTTTTAGGTCTTTTGCATGGCTCCCTAATGGATCCAAAGTTAAGTTCAACAACGGTAGGAAACTGGCAAGGAACAACGGTACAGCAACGGGAGGAAACTGGCAAGGAACAACGACCAGCTCGTCAGGTCGGCATCCGATAGCCAGCGAGCTAGTGGCCCTAAACTAGTTTCGACTTTCCCGGAAAACACGAGGAGTGCCTGTTACAGGGCTCAGCGGCTGGTATGGTAGCCGAATTGAAGATCAACTCAACCGGTGACCTCCGATGTCAGATAAAAGTGACAAAAGCCAGACTAATTCTGTAAAAAAAAAAACAACTCGCCAAAAAGTTCACAGAACTACGATTTTTGGCACCAATCTGGCATTTTATTGTGCTCACATTAGGTAGAGGTGGGTGGCGGGATGCTGCGGTACTTGTACTCACCCCTGATAGTGCTGGACCAGGGCGACGCTGCTGGCCAGGCAGCAATAGACGAGGAAGAGCAGGCCGCAGGCGGCGGCCGTCAGCCGGGCTCCGTCCCAGCAGTGGTGTCGGGAACGGGTGAGTCGGAGCGGCGGCTCGGGGCCGCGCCACATGACCACCGAGTACAGGGCGCACGCCTCCACCAGCTGACACACAGACACAGTCAATACATCGTCTGACACACAGTCAACACACCAGCTACTGATAAACCTAGTCAATACACCAGCTGACACACAGACACAGTCAATGCACCAGCTGACACACAGACACAGTCAATGCACCAGCTGACACACAGACACAGTCAATGCATCGGCTGACACACAGTCAATGCACCAGCTGACACATACACAGACACAGTCAATGCACTGGCTGACACACAGGCACAGTCAACACACAGGCTGACACACAGACACAGTCAATGCACCAGCTGACGCACAGACACAGTCAATGCACCAGCTGACACACAGACACAGTCAATGCACCAGCTGACACACAGACACAGTCAATGCACCAGCTGACACACAGACACAGTCAATGCACTGGCTGACACACAGGCACAGTCAACACACAGGCTGACACACAGATACATTTAACACACCACCTACTGATATAGTCAATACACCGGCTGATACACAATCAATACACTTGCTGACTGACAAACACATGTCAGTGGTGTACTTACCCAGGCATGATGAAAGAGCACATTGACAGTAAAACATTTGTAACAAATTTAATCCCCGCCATGCTGGTGGCCTGAGTTTTCCGTGTCGTGCTGGGGAGGGGGGGGGGCGTTTTCACGCCCCCGTCTAACTGGGCTCCTGGCCCATGTAGTGACACGCGGTAGGCGCCAGGCGGCAATCGAAAGAGCATCAAAAGTAATGACGGAAACACTTCAGTCATTTTTAGGTCAGTTCAAAGGCCAGGTCACCAGAGGTCACCAAAGGTCAAATTTAGTCCAGTTCAACAAGTTTGGAATCTGCTAACGGCTAACTCGGGAACCAATAGAGCTACAGCGCCGCGGAAAAGCGCATTCGATAGCCCTGGTACAGATTATTCTGGGTGTTGTTCTCAGATTTGACCTCGGGTCAACGGTTTAGCCTCCAGAGGGCAAATGCTCTAAAAATACCCGTTTTCACTAAATATGTTTTTCGGTAATAACTTCTGACTCAAGAGAGCCACGATATTAATTTTGCCAGCATCGTGTTCCTCTCGTCGAGGCGCGTCAAATGAACTATACGTTGACCTTGAAAGGTCATTTTGAGAATTTGACCCCAGGTCAAGGTCATGACCTGGCCGGAAAGGGTTATTTTGCATATCAGTCGATCCGTATCATCGAGCTGAACACAGCTGACGTGTTTTCATCGCTCTATCAAAAGCTATCGTCTTTATCAAAAGCTATCGTCAAAAAACTGCTGGTGACATTAAATGACGTGAGATGACCTCGGGGACATACAGAGGGGCCACAGGTGCATTTTTCAGATTCAGTGTGTCATGTTTACCTATAAACCGATGTTTGAGAGAGAGGGTTTAGAACGACATTCGTCCAAGAAAGGTGCATTTCAATTTTCTCCCGATGACTTTTGGAGAGATCACAAAATTGACCTGACCTTTGGTCACAGATATTTAAAAAATCCGAGATAAACATTTTATATATACTGTTACTCTTCTCTGAAAGTTTTAAAGTGATCGTTCGTTTGGTGTAGGCAAAGAGAGCCTTTGATTTTTTCTGGGTTAATGCCACCTGACGTGACCTGTTGACCTGACCTTGAACGACCCGGGTCTGAAATTCTCACATGTGCGGGAAATATGTATGAACAGGTGTGCCGTTTTTGAGATATTTACGAAAAGCCTGAGGGGGGCGTAAGAACGCCCCCCCCCCAGCACGGCGCGGGTTAAAAGCATTTGGTGTTGAACCAATAGAAACAAAGCCACCACTGTTCGAGCGATTAACATGCTGTAGAAACCGGTACGAATCGCAAAATAGTCCTAGCAGCACGTCATCGCACCATTTGGCTGCCAAATGGAGCAATAAAGCTAAATTAAATGGTGTGGATTCACGTTCCGTAATAGCTGTAGCTGTAGAGCAGCCGCGATTAGAAGTCAGTTCCGAGCCTGTTGAGTCGGCATTAACCCGGCAGGCGGTGGGCCTACCAGCCACCTTCCGCGCGGTGGGGGGGGGGCATTTTTTTGCCCCCCCCCCCCGTATCTCCGAAACTACTGGACGGATCCGGAAAATTCAAACGGCGTTCGATAGCCCTGTCAAATTTGTCGAAGGAAACCAAATTTCATTGACCTCGGGGTCACCGATGACGTCACAGGTCAGGTCAAAGATAAAATGTTTCTCCGTTCACAGGGCTTCTAGGGAAAGCGCTATAACACCGAGTAAAACGCATTTTGTCGAAAATCAGCGATAAGGCGTCAGTTGTCTAGTACATATGTTGCTATTAGAGGTCACTGGTCATACCAGGTCAGGTCACAGGTCAGGTCACAGGTCAGGTCACCAAAGGTCACCAAGGGTCACCACATGAGCCCAACTTTAGGGGAAGTTGGGGCAATGCCGGAGTTGGGGCAAAGCCGAAATTCGAGATATTTCGAAAACCGTACGACATGGATGTCACCTGTCAGTGGTGCTCTGAAGTCTGAAGCGTAAGTGACTACCAATTATCGCATGTTTGTTACCAGTCGTCATTCGGAATACTTCGGCTATGAGGGCGCCAAGAGCGTTTTCAAGGTACGTTTCCTTTGTACTACATGCGTCTTCGAAGCTGCATTTCCTACTCATTATGCTACCGTTTGTCTGGCCAATTCGGTCAAGTAATCTTCAGCACGTCTTTGCATAAGTGTGCTGCCTATTTGAAATTTATACAGCACGTTGAAAAGTTATGGGCCTGCAAATGAAAGTATGGCTGGCTGGGGTAATGCCGAAAACGTGCAATTACGCGCGTTAAAGCACGCTACGTGAACTTTACCGCTGTAGAATAGCAACGTGTATTTTTAGTCACACAAATTACACTTTTAACCGACACAACGGCCTGTTACCATAAGGAATGATTTACCTGGCCTTTTCTTATTATATCACACAATTATAACTTCCAGTGTGCACCAAACGTCCTCAAGCTCTTAAAACGCGTGTCAGCTTTGACGGATTCTAGATAAAATTTGAGATAAAATAGCAAAACATCAATTTCGGCATTCCCGTAGATCATTTCTCCCATTTTCGGCTTTCCCCGCAGTCCGGGGCAACGCCGAAAAAGTCACTTCTTTGATATTTTTAGTTTGTGCGCTTAACGGTATGCGAATTCATCAAATGCGCCTGGTATGTTTGAAAGGCAAAAGACTGGCCTCTCGAATGACGCCAACAAGAATAGCTTATGTTGTCTACCTTGCGTGCTACGGGCGTCAGAAAAAAAAGTATTCGGCGTTCCCCCAACTTCCCCTACTAATGTTATGCGATGCATGTTTTATGGCCAGTTTTTCATTTCCAACTCAATGGTGTTGGTTATAAGACCATCAGGTACGGTTTAGGTCACTTTCTGGTGGAGGTCAGGTCAAGGTCAGGTCAAAAAAGGTCAAATTTCAAAGTTGATATTTTTGCATAAAATGGGTATCGATTCGATGCAGCTCGTCACGGGGAGTCTAATGGTGGTCTTTGTTTTGCGCTACGAGGTCTAGAATTGCTAAAAATTGAGTTTGAAAGTTTGACGTCATCAATTTTTAACAGTTTTTCGCTATAACTTGGCCAAAAAAGAGGTATCGATCTCAAATTTGGTATGTAGATAGAAAGCGGTAGGGACTATCACATATATTCCGGTTTTTATCGAAATTAAAAAAAACTTTTTAGATTTTTTGGCTATTATATTAAAAAAAATCTATTTTTTGATTTTTTGGGGTCAAAATCCAAAAAATTCGAAAAACCGAAATAGCAGTTTTGTAGCCCTTTTGATCCCACACCTCTTATGTCTGAAACATTTTTCTGTATCTCTAAAGCTGTAGGCCTGACAGCTCTTCCCGCGAAACCTTTTTTTGGGTCGAAAATGGCAAAAATGACGTCACTCTGACGTCATTAGCGGCCAACCTATCGTAGCCTTTGGAAAACAATTTTGGTCACCATGTGCGCTAGCTGCTCCCGGGAGAGAACTGAAAGTTTGGTGACGATCGGCGCAACGGTTCTCGAGATATATTGACAAAACTAAAGGGGGGGGGGCAAAAAATGCCCCCCACCGCCTGGAAGGTTAACAGGAAGGCCCTGGGGCCCTGATAGTGCCGCCCCGCGGGCCCGCGGCAGCTCCGATCCGGCCGCGGTGCCCTCTCCAGCGCTGCAGCACTGCGCACCACGGCTGCTCGCCGGGGCTGTGGCTGGAACTGGTGCGGGCCGTCCCTTCGACTCGGCTGAGGTTAGAGTCGGTCTCTGACGGCCCCTGTGGCCCGGCGGCCGCTCTACGTGTACTGTGGCCCGGCGGCCGCTCTACTGTGGCCCGGCGGCCGCTCTACGTGTACTGTAGCCCGGCGCCCGCTCTACTGGCGCCCGGCACCCGCTCTACTGTGGCCCGGCGCCCGCTCTACTGTGGCCCGGCGCCCGCTCTACTGTGGCCCGGCGGCCGCTCTACTGCGGCCCGGCGCCCGCTCTACTGGCGCCCGGCACCCGCTCTACTGTGGCCCGGCGGCCGCTCTACGGTGGCCCGGCGGGCGCTCTACTGTGGCCCGGCGCTCGCTCTACGGTGGCCCGGCGGGCGCGGGCGGGCGGGAGCCCACGGCCGGGCCGGCGGGCGCGGGTGGTAGTCCATCCCACGGCCGGCGGGCGCGGGTGGTAGTCCATCCCACGGCCGGCGGGCGCGGGTGGTAGTCCATCCCACGGCCGGCGGGCGCGGGTGGTAGTCCATCCCACGGCCGGCGGGCCCGCGGAGGGCTAATGCGGCCCGGCCCGGCCAGTGGCCACCTGCGACCACCGGCTCCCGTTGGGAGGCCGTTGGCGCTGACCGGCACAGTGGCGCTTCCGGCGCGGACCGACCCGCCGCGCCGGCGGCCGATACAGAGCCGACCAGACGCTCGGCGAATTAAAACAGCTACCGACCGTGTTCACACCGACAGCCAGGAAATACAGCTGGCAGGCTGGGAGGCTGGCGCTTACTGAGCATTAGACAAGGCTGCTACATTTCAAGGATGCTCCTACTTTCAGTCAGAAATATGCGTTTAATAGAAAAGCTTGAAAGACTTATCTGACTACCAGTTATCTACTACAATTACTTATCCTTTCACATAGATTATCGAATTTCTCCCACATCAGACATTCTCAGAGACCTCCACCGGCTCTTTATTGAGCTCTAGCATACACCGTCAGAGAAGTATCTCCTATCCTTCGGTCAAATAAGAGGCCCCGCACTCGGCCACCACCTTACTGATGTGGCGTCTGCAGCGAATATTGCTGAAACGTGGCCGCACAGGACAAACAGACACGATCCTGGGTTCCCTGCTCTCACAAGACCAGCAGTTAACATATCAAAATTGATGGCAATGTAACCCTAGTCTGGTGAGGTATTCATGTGAACTGGTGAGCGGCAAATTTTGTTCCCCCTCCACTGCCCGCGGGCAGTGGACAGTGGACAGTGGACGGTGGACGGTGGACGGTGGACGGTGGACGGTGGACGGTGGACGGTGGACAGTGGACAGTGGACAGTGGACAGTGGACAGTGGACAGTGGACAGTGGACAGTGGACAGTGGACAGTGGACAGTGGACGGTGGACACTCACGCCGACCAGTCCCCGCGGCAGCAGCGGCTGTCCACCCCAGCTGGCGCTCTCGGTCAGAAAGGCGGCAGAGACGGCGAATACGGCCGCCGCGGAGAGAGTACTGAGCAGCACCAGAGCGCGCAGCCAGCCGGCGCTCTGCGGAAACAGCAGAGTCCTCCGTCAGCGGGTGGCACAGCGCATACAGCTCTCAGACACAGCGCAGACAGACCCCAGACACAGCGCAGACAGAGCCAGACACAGCGCAGATAGACCCAGACAGACGCAGCACAGACAAAGCCAGACACAGTGCAGACAGAGCCAGACAGAGCCAGACACAGCACAGACAGAGCCCAGACACAACACAGACAGAGCACAGACACAGCACAGACACAGCACAGACAGAGCACAGACACAGCGCAGACAGAGCCAGACAGAGCACAGACACAGCGCAGACAGAGCCAGACAGAGCACAGACACAGCGCAGACAGAACCAGAGACAGCCAGACACAGCACAGACAGAGCCAGATACAGCACAGACACAGCCAGACACAGCCAGGCACAGCTAGGCAGAGTCAGACACAGCACAGACAGACCCCAGACACAGCACAGACAGAGTCAGACACAACACAGACACAACACAGACACAGCACAGACAGACCCCAGACACAGCACAGACAGAGTCAGACACAACACAGACACAACACAGACACAGCACAGACAGACCCCAGACACAGCGCAGACAGAGCACAGACAGAGCCAGACACAGCACAGACAGAGCACAGACAGAGCCAGACACAGTACAGACAGACCCCAGACACAGCACAGACAGACCCCAGACACAGCACAGACAGTACCCAGCGCTAGCTCCTTGTGAATCCTTCCTATCTTAACCCTATTCCTGGCGGGGGGGGGGGCCTCAGGAGCCCCCCCCCCCTGAGGTTTTTTGGTTATATCTCCCAAACGCGTTGAGCTAGGGAGCTCAAATTTTCTGACTTTTCCTAAAAGGCTTCTACGCAACATGTCTGAAAATTTTGAGTTGATCTGACCTCAGGTCAGGTCACCAGAGGCGGTTTGGTGACGCTACCTCAGAAAAGTTTGCAATCACGCCAGAGCTAGAGTTTTTGACCGATCAATTTCTTCTCTTCAGGGTTTAGTTAGGGTACCAGTATGTGCAATTTGTATATCTCGGAATTTTGATATCGGTGACCTAAGGTCAGGTCAATTTCGCGACCTCCCCATTATAAGTCAATGGGGGAAAAATCAACTCCCTGTTTTTACCACTAAAACGGGTCGGAATGGCCCCATATACCATACATGACTTCTAATACGATCAACCTTCACTACCTTGAGGTCTGTTTTGCTGTTGGGCAGCTGTGAGGTCATGTGACGTCATCAAAGGTCACCAAAGGTTTTTGGCCAATAACTCCGTACAGGAACAAGATACAGACGCGTGGATGGTCTCATTGTGTTCAGCTCGTCAAGACGCATCGAATGATATACATGATGACCTCGAGGTCACGTGACCTGAGGTCAACCTTTGACCTTGACCTTTCGAGGTCAACATATATATCATTCGATGCGGATTGACGAGAGGATCACGATGATGCCCTTAGTTTGTTCCTATCTTGACTAATTCGAAAGTTATTCGAGAAAAACTCTCTCCATATCTAGTGCCGCCATTTTGACTTTTTCGACCCCTGTGACGTCATCTTTGACCTGACCTGAAAATGACCTTAGTAAAAATTGTAGATCTTGGCCGTGCGTATCCGATGCCGTTTACCGATTGTCGCTATCTTGCTTCGTTCTCGAGATCTCAGGGGGGGGGCCGAATCGGCCCCCCCCCCCCCCGCCAGTTTCTTGTCCCGGCGGAGCCCGCCAGGAATAGGGTTAAGGTTCGGAGTTCGGACTAAATTTATATAAAAAAAAAACGTTATATGCGAGTATGGGTAAAAAATCATCAGAGCTGTAAAAAGGCTTATGAATCGGTCTGCAAACTGTTCAGTTTAATCACTTCGAAATTATGTGGCGCTTTTCGTCCTCATTATCACCAGCATTAATCATTCGGACCATACTCGACACAGAAATTGGTTTTACTGTTCAGTGCTCATTTCTTGAAACAATAGAATACATTCCTCAACTTCTAGTATATAGACCAAAAAACTTCAGACCTCAATGGGACAGCGCGAATGGCTGGCCAAATTGGTTCCTTTGAGAACTGCTCCAAGCGTCTCACTCGGCGGTATCATTTGTCGAGAGCTGATTGCAGGGGACCAGGAAACCGCCGCCGGGTTACTGATTAACGCTGGATACCGACAGCACCAGATCGGACTACCTACATTGTGGCCGCACGACATAAACAGAACGCTGGCACAATATCGAAGGACAGAAACAAAGTGTTGAATAAAAACGGGTACCTACAAATCAATAGACCAACATGAGCAATTCTTGTTTCCGCAATGGTGCTAACAAAAGCGTGCAGACATATGGAAGGCATGTCAATGACCCAACTTGAAAATCAGGCAGAAGTTGGAAGGTGTCGTCATCTACCTGCGATAAGATAAGCTATCGATTAGAATTATCAGCGGTGAACCCGGCACCGGCAAGGTCGGGTGAATGGCGGTGAATCCGTGCTATATTTCGCATCGAGCGCCGCTTAGTGTGGTTGTCGGACCCAAAGTCACTCATTCATTCACTCCGATTGAATTTCCGAAGAAGGTCTTGCTTGCATACAACGACAGGTAAGCCCAATGTCTTTATACTGAAAGTGTGTGGAGCTCAATCGTAAAAAAGAAGGGTTGGCACTTGGCAACACATCAGCGAAGAACACTGCTCAAGATGCCCGGGATTCGTCTGAACAATATCAGGGCTTTTTCAAAATTTCGTAGTTATTCAGTATACCGTATAGAAGAAGGTGGCTGAGGCCCCAATCCCAAGCCATTCATCCCAAAGCTGCCTAACTTTCAACCGGAGGCCCTCCAAAGTTGATCTGTATGCCATCCAAGAGCTTCTAGCGACGAGTATCAAGTGCTTAGTTAACCCGCGCCGGGCCGGTGCTCGCTCTGAGATTCCGCGCCGGGCCGGAGGGGGGGGGGGGTGTCTGAACACCCTCCCCCTTCTAACTCGGCTCCTGGACCACGTAGTGACACGCGGAAAGCGGCAATCGAAAGAACGTCCAAAATAAGGACGAAAACACTTCAGGTCATTTTTTTGGGTCAGGTCAAAGGTCAGGTCACCAGAGGTCACCAAAGGTAAAATGTTGACTATTTCAACATTTTGGAAACTGCCGACGGCTATCTCGAGAACTGATAGAGCTACAACACCGCGGGAAAGCACATTCGATAGCCCTTTTACACACCTTTCTGAGTAATGTTCTCAGATTTGGCCTCAGGTCAACTGTTTAGCCTCCAGAGGGCAAAAACTCCAAAAATAGCCGTTTTTACGAAAAACGTTTTTTTCGGCAATAACGTTTGACTCAAAAGAGCCATGACATTACTTTTACTAGCATCGTGTTCCTCTCGTCGAGACGCGTCGAATGAACTATAATTTGACCTTGAATGGTCAACTTGAAAATTTGACCTCAGGTCAAGGTCATGACCTGACCTGAAAAGGTCATGTTGCATATCAGTCGATCCGCAACGTCGAGCAGAACACATCTAAGGCGTTTTTAGCGCTCTAGCACGCCTCTATCAGAAGTTATTAGCGAAAAACTGTTAGATTCTGTTCCAGACCTGAGATGACCTCGGGGACATAACGAGGGGTCAGAGTTGCCATTTTCCGTTTCAGTGTGTCATTTTACCTACATCTCGATGTTTGAGAGTGTCTAGAATAGCGTTCCTGCGAAACAGACGCTTTTCAATTTTCTCCCATTGACTTATAATGAAGAGGCCGCAAAATTGACCTGACCTTAGGTCACCGATATCAATATTCCGAGATATAAATTTTATAGATAATGTTGCTCTTATAATAAATCGCTGAAAGTTTCAAGGCAATCGATCAATCGATGTAGCTACAACGAGCATTCTTTTTTTCTGAGGTGAGGTCACTTGGCGTAATCTGGTGACCTGACCTAAGGCGACCTGGGTCTGAAATTTTCACAAAATGTGCGAAAAAGATGCTGCACAAACAGGTGTGCCAAAATATCTGCGAGATATCTGCGAAAACCGCAGGGGGGGGGGGTGTTCAAACACACCCCGGCCTGGTGCGGGTTCAAACCCTGGAAATCCATTTAGCGAGTGCTTGGATTTCAGCCCTGTTAACCCGCGCCCCGCTGGACTATTCAGCCATACGCGCCCCTGTCTAACTTCCGAACCGATGGCCCGTAGAAAGACGGGGAAAACGGCGATCGAAAGCTCTCAACAAGATGGATCTTAACCCGCGCGGGGCTAGGAGGGGTAAATTTTACCTCCCCTCGCGAATTTATGCAATATCTCAAAAACGGCCGCGCGCAGCACCGCCAAACTTTCAGTACCTTTTCTTACATCAATTCGACACGTTCCCTGAAAAGTTGAGCGAAATCCGTCGGAAATTTTTTGAGAAATTGACATTTTAGTGACGTCATGTTCGCCATTTTCGCCTCAAAAACGGCAAAATTTAAAACGCCGCTAACATCTTTAATTTTAAAGGAATCAAGATGTAACAAAAAAGGTTATACGTAATTCCACATTGTCTATCAAATTGCCATCCGGGTTTTTGAAAACTTTGAATTTTGGCCCAATTTTTTCCAAAAAAAAAACTGACTTTTTTGGAAAATAATGATAAAATCCAAAATTATGAGTGTATCAAAAAAAAAAAAAAACGGAATATATGTCAGAGGAGTGGTCTATGTGCACCTACATACCAATTTTTAAAAGAATCGGTTAAAAAATGTGGGAGTTATTAAACATTTTATGACATCACGACACACAAAAAAAATTGAAAAATGATTTTTTTTGGACGTTCTAGACCTCGTACGGAAACAACAATAGCACCATTCGATTCGCCGTGAAAAACTGCATCAGATAGACACCTTTTTAAGCCTTAACAACCAACTTCAAAATTTGACCTCACTTGACCTGACCTTGACCTGACCTCGACCTGAAATTCATCCAGAGGTGGTCCATATCACTTATTGAGTGTGCCTTTTGAGTTCTCTGAGTAAAATGACCCATAAAACATGTGTCGCACATACCCTTTTCTATATTTTGTTTTTGGTGACCTGACATGACCTGATCTGACCTTGACCTTGACCTCTGAATGATATTGTATGCAACGAATATTGTCTTGGTAGCCTAAGAACACGTTTTGGGCAATCAGTCTCAGTCCATGACTCCATTCTTCGGCAACTACGGTGCAAGGCCGATACTGTAGGAACTTGCAATTTGTACCCTTGACCTGACCTTGACCTTGACCTTAAACTTTAAATTAAGTACATGTTTTTAGTTGTTCGTGATGAGATCTTCGATTGGGGTTTGAATTTTCCAAATCGGACCATTAGTTCGGGAGATAACAGGGGGGGGGGGGGGGTAAAATTTACACACCCCCAGCCCCGCGCGTTCGGCTGGAGACCCCAGCCCCGCGCGGGTTAAGAGCCCAAATTTTTTTGCTTAAGTAGGTCAGAGGTCAGGTCAAGGTCAGGTCAAGGGTACAAAATGCAAGCTTCTTGCAGTATCGGCCTTGCATCGTAGTTGCCGAAGAATGGACTGAGACTGATTGCCCAAAACGTGTTCTTAGACTACCAAGACAATATTCGTTGCATACAATGTCATTCAAAGGTCAAGGTCAAGGTCAGGTCAGGTCAGGTCAGGTCACCAAAAACAAAATATAGAAAAGGGCATGTGCGACACATGTTTTATGGGTCATTTTACTCATAGAATTCAATAGGCACATTCAATAGGTGACATGGACCAACTCTGGATGAATTTCAGGTCGAGGTCAGGTCAAGGTCAGGTCAAGTGAGGTCAAATTTTGAAGTTGGTTGTTAAGGCCTAAAAAGGTGTCTATCTGATGCAGTTTTTCACGGCGAATCGAATGGTGCTATTTTTGTTTCCGTACGAGGTCTAGAACTTCAAAAAAAAAACATTTTTCAAAAAATTGTGTGTCGTGACGTCATAAAATTTTGAATAACTCCCACATGTTTTAACCGATTCTTCTTAAAATTGGTATGTAGGTGCACATAGACACTTCTCTGACATATATTCCGGATTTTCGATACACTCAAAATTTTGGATTTTATGATTATTTTCCCCAAAATGTCAGTTTTTTAAGAAAAAAATGGGCCAAAATCCATTATTTCCAAAAAACCGAGATAGTCATTTGATAGACAAAGTAGAATCACGTATAACCATTTTTGTTACGTCTTGATTCCTTTAAAAATGAAGATGTTAGCGGCGTTTGAAATTTTGCCGTTTTTTAGGCGAAAATGGCGAATATGACATCACTAAAACGTCAATTTCTCGAGAAAAAAATCCGACGGATTTCGCTCAAATTTTCAGGGAACGTGTCAAATTGATGAATGATAAGGTACTGAAAGTTTGACGTCGCTGGCGTAACGCGTTTAGAAATTATTGGCGAGAAACGGGAGGGGGCAGATTCTACCCCCCCCCCCCACACCCCCAGCGGGGCGCGGGTTAAAAGCCCGTCCATGACAGTGTCCAAGTGACTGTTGGTGACAGTGTTGACAGCTCTCAGTACAGCTCTCAGTGCAGACCAGCGACCCACCTCCAGGCCCAGCGCCAGCAGCGCGGCCAGCAGGAGGCAGACGCCGGCGGCCAGCGGGTCGGCCGTCACGGCGCCGCCGCCGCCCAGCACGGCGCGCACCAGCTCCGCCAGGTGGCCGCCGGTCAGCTGGTCGACGGTGGCGCTGAGCGCGCGCGCGCCGGCGGCCAGCGCGGCGGCGCGCAGCAGCAGAGTCAGCGCGCCGGCCGCCGCCGCCGCCAGCTCGCCCACGCCGGCGGCCGCCGCCGAGTACAGCGAGACGGGCGGCTCGGGCCGGCGCTCCGCCAGCTCCGCCGCGTACAGACCTGCGGCAGCCGCGGGCCAGGGACTGAGCAACAGACCAGCGCAGAGGCACCTCAGTACAGACCAATACACACACCAAAACACACCAGTCAGACCAGCTCAGAACACTGCACACTAGCACAGACCATACAGACCACTACAGACATACAGATCACTACAAACATTTTCAGATCAGCACAAACCTGGAACCTGTAAATAAGAAAAGGTGAATACATACTAAAGCAAACATATACCAAACCAGTACAGGCCACTAAATATTACTAGAGACCAGAAGAGACCAGTACAGAGTAGAAGAGACCAGCACAGATCAGCGTAGACCAGTGCAGAATAGTGCAGACCAGTACGTATGATACAGAGCAGTGCAGACCACTGCGTACCTACCGACAGTATGATGCCTTTGGGGCGGCAAACCGGCGAACCGGAGCAATAGTGCGTCGCACTGGCTCAAAAGTGAGCAAGCCCGACGTGAGACCAGTATAGGTAGGTATAGACGATCTTCGGACACCAGCTTACTACTTATTATTCTAGGGAGCTTTCAAGAGAGCTTCGGCTCCCTTTGCCAGCCAAGTCAACACGAAAAACACAAACACAAACCGTGACACAAAAGTCAAAATGCGTTCACTCCGAGGTGGAGTGTTCGTGCGCCACATTTAGACTAGGTGGAAACATTCAAAGCCCTACCCAGTAAACATGCCGACGTCGGCCCGACGTCGGCCGACGTCGGGGTGACGTCGGCAACTCGGCATCGGCATGCCGACGTCGGCCCGACGTCGGTCCAACCTCGGCACGACGTCGGCTGGATGTCGGATATGCCCGCATGTTCCGACGTCCAGCCGAGGCCCAGCCGACGTCGGGCCGACGTCGGACCGAGATAAACTGCTGAGGTCCAGCCGACGTCGGGCCGACGTCGGGGCGACGTCGGACCGACATCGGTCGCTGTTTTGACCGTTAAAATAATATAAAATACATGTTTCATGCAGGGGCGTCGACACCGGTCCGACTTTTCCGACTAGTCGGACCACTTTTTCGACTAGGCGGTGCCCTGCTGTGGCTCGCGGGGCCCCTGCTGCAGACCGCGGGGGCCCTACTGCGGCTCGGGGGGCCCTGCTAGAGACCGCGGGGGCCCTGCTGCGCCTCTGGGGCCTTGCTAGACACCGCGGGGCCCTGCTGCGGCCCGCGGGGTCCCCTTCTGCGGCCGCGGGGGGCCCCTGTTGGGGCTCTCGGGGGGCCCTGCTGCGGCCACGGGGGCCCCTGGGGGCCCCCACCGGTGGGGGCCCCCCGAGAAAAAGTCGGACCAGTTTTCCTTACGCGTCGACGCCCCTGGTTTCATGTTTCATAAAGAGCTTCTGTATTCAAAATATCCTCAGGAAACTCAAATCTTCCTCCACGCCGCAACCCCCTGTTACGGACTGGACGGGAAACTTTATCCCATTTGGGATTGCCCGTAAGCCGAGCTCGCCCGTAGCCGGGTGCGGTGAGTGCTTGGGGCTGCTCGGCCTATCCTTTGGTCAGGCTCAGCCCCGGCAACTCACCAGGGCCGGGCCCAGTTCATATAGAAAGGCCAGTCGGCAAACTTTGCCAAAGTGCCACTTATCAAAGGGACACTTTGGGAAACGTTGGTGCAGGTGTGTAAGAGTGGCTATATGAATCCATTGTGGGGTCGCCCTTTCCAATAAGTGTCACGTAACAGCAATGGGACCAGGGACTCTATATGAACTGGACCCAGGGTGCTCGCCAAGAAGACCAATCATCCTTCCGGCTCTGAAATGGTCTTGTCAGACCGAAAGGGCATAACCCAACAAAACAAACCAGATTCGTTAGCTGGATGCGTGGTGTAGTGGTTAGCGCACTTACCTCGCGTTCGTATGACACGGGGTTCAAATCCCATCGCCGGCCGATGCTTTTGGCGTGTTGTCCCAGTTAACATGCCGACGTCGGCGACTGGGGGGCTCGAATCCCGCCGCCGGTTGATACTTTTGGCGCGTTGTCCCAATAAACATGCCGACGTCGGCCCCGTCGGTCCAACGACAAACGATCTCGTCAACCTCGGCAAACGATCTCGGCCCGACGTCGGCTCGACGTCGGCTGGACTTTGGCTGGACGTCGGAACATGCGGGCATATCCGACGTCCAGCCGATGTCGGGCCGAGGTTGGACCGACGTTTGGCCGACGTCGGGCCGAGCCTCGGCCCGACGTCGGGCCGACGTCGTCATGTTTACTGGGTACTTAAGATTGTAAGCCTGGATTGTTCAACCAGAGGCCTGTTTCACTAAAAACTTGTAATTACAAGTTTTATTTGTTAGTGAAACAGGCCTCAGTTGGTATGTCATGGGCGGGCAGGCTCTCATTGAAAGTCATGATGCTTTTCTAGATGATTACCTATTAGAGTGTATCGATAACCGAAATTTGCAAGGAAACTGGCATATTATTTGGCGCAAGGACATAAAGATAATATCTGGGCGCAACATTTTCCTCAAAACTCAAAATTGACTGACCCGGAACGGTTTTTGTAAACCCCATTCCAACTGCTGCGGACGTAGGATGAAGCTTTAGTTCTCCCCTTTTGACGCTAGATGGCAGTGATTCCAGACTGTCTCTAACTTAATTTCAGACATTTGTAAACGTAAAAAAGCCATTCGGATTAAATTATGCACATTTTTTTACATCATTGGTGTTGGTATATTGCTGTTTTTTCCATTGCAAGTGTTTTTCCATTGCAAACGCATAGCTTTCCACACATTATCACACATAACACAATACACATTACCTATGCATTAGCGCCCTGAGCTCTTAAACACGAACAAGTAAATAGCAGATTAGGCAACTATTAGCAACTGAGCTCCTGCCGCATCGTACTTTAAGGACTACATATAGCCGGTACAATTGTGTTACCAGCGACCAAATGTCAAAGTGGACACTGGTCAGGTGCTCGGTAACTGGTGACTGGTGAGCCAGTTTGCTTTCTGTCCTATATTACGACTAATTCACCATCATCCTTGCTTGCACTTCTCCGTGTTCCGGATTAACGGTCCGCCTAGCAGACAACCGATGAAAGTCAGCTTCGGAGTGACCATTTCAACAAATGTATGCTCTAGTCTGTCCCGTTGTGACTTGCCGTCAAAACAGTATGTCCCGGCGCTGAAATGCCGTCCCAGCGGTACAGCGGACTAGTCGTCAGTGGTTGATTGAACCGATTGAGCCTTGGTTGATTGAACCTTACATTGCCCTCTCCCTCTCGTGTTTTATCATCCCAGCATAGCCTGACTCAGAGCATTGCAGCCATTATGGTGTCTTTTGACTGAGACGCTGCGGCACACAGCCGGTGCCCGATGGTCGACTTTATTCTGATATTACCCTCTCCCCGCTAATTCATTTATTCATCATACCACGGCCCTAAAATGTTCTCGAATAGACTAACCCATAGGCTCTAACCGTAACCAAGCATAACGAACAAACCCACTTAGCAGTCTCCGAACGTCTGCTGTTAAAATTAGTAGCCACTAGCCAGTAGGTGAAACCGAAACCGACGAGTGGCCACGTCAAGCGGTCCCTCAGTGCCCCAAAGGTGGTCACTTTCGGGGTAGAACTTGTCACAACTCAGCCTATCCTACCGGACTGCCGTGGGCTCCTCTCTTACCGCGCGGCGAACACGGTGAATATCGTGCGCTGGTAGTATTACATACAGCTCGCATCCCAAATAAAAAGTTACTGCCGGCGAAGGCCCAACCATTCACCGTACTATGGTGCAGGTCCGGTGACTTTCCCGCCGCCCGTGTCACCGCGACCAACGGCGGCGACAGTGCCGTCACCGGTCCCCTCGAGATCCGGCGATGCCGTCTGTATTTGTTTGTTTGTTTGTTTTGTTGGGTTAGGCTCTTTCGGTCCGACAAGACCATTTCAGAGCCGGAAGGATGATAGGAATTAGGGGGTGACATTGGTCTGGGCAGGCACCCTAGTGAGTCGCCGGGGCTGAGCCCGTCCAGAGGACAGGCCACCCATCCCCAAAGTACTCACTGCACCCGGCTACGGGGTGCGCTCCCTCGGGAGCCGCGGTGCCGCTCCAAGGGAGCAGCCCGCATGAGATAAGTTGCCTGTCCAGGCCGGAGGGGGTTTCGGCGTGGAGGAGAAGGATTTCAGTATCCTGAGGATGGAAGCACGGAACGGGTGCCGTCTGTACCGGAACAGCGCACTATCTGTACCCGAGCAGGTGCGTCTATGTAGGTGGAATAGGCATACTACCAAACTGAACTGCCGCATGCGAGAGACGGCTACAGTCAACCAGGACTCGTGAGTCTGCGGTGTTTTAATACAGGATCACATGCAAGAGCCCGGTCACCGGCACAGATTGACTGTCAACCAGTCCGTGATATGACCCCTGCTGTAGCTAGCTCACGTTCGGGCCCTGCTCGGCGCACTTGCCGAGGCCAATGACGAGACCGACTTTTACGTCGGTCCTTCTCCGCCGTGCCAACCGAGTTAATAAAATACATTTCACCATTGCTTTCATACATAATCCAGAATCCTATTATTTGACTCATGTGCCGTACACACTTTGCCTCTGTTGCTGCTCAGCCGTTTCAAGCGTCACAGGCACTAAATGAAGAGCTCTTTGCTAACTGACGGTGAACTGGGCTGGTGCGCGATAGGCACTGGTGTACGCAATGCACTTTAGTTTTTAGGGTATTTCTATTACTTTGCTCAAAAGCAATGGCCATTTGTGACCCAGACAAACATACAGTGATCATAGAACAGGAGACATGAGAACAGCACGAAAACATAGCGTAGGAGAAAAGTGCATAGATGCGTTTTGATACTGTTAATGATAATGATACAGATATGGGCATTCAAAGTCCATTCAAGCCTTCCAACGCATGTAACGCTCTCCTATACACACCAAGGTATAAGATAGGTTTCGATCTGCCCCAGACAGAACAGGGCCTAGGCCGAGAGCCGAGAGCAAAACTAGGGCAAAATAGGCACATGTGTAGCTAAAACTCCACAC